CCGAGAATTCCCCTTCACTGCGGCAAGCACCGCCACCGTGCCTGTGCAACAGTGCATCAGGAAGGAGACTTGAGTGTAGGAACAGCGCAGTTCCGACGACTGTTTTGAACTCGTCTTCGTCCGCGCGGTACGGGGGAGGTCGAGTTCATTCCCCGCTGCAGTTCAGTCAGCGGTCCGAACTGAGGCGGGTCGCGAGCTCGACCTCATCTTCGTCCGCGGGGTAGGGAGGATGATGATGAGGAGAAGGAGGAGGACGAGGAGGAGGAGGAAGCGGAGGAGGAGGAGGAGGCGTTGCAAGGCCAAACCCAAGTCCACCCGCCCTGACCTCGATGGCCACCAGCTCGAATTAGTTGCAGACCCCACTGGGCACACGATCTGTTAGGAGGGTAAACCTTCTGTTTGTGATCGTTGTGGGGGGGGCGGGCGGAGTCCAGAGGAGCCCTCGCCGCGCTCTCCTGCCTTGGGGTCCCCACGGTCGCCACGTCGGCGCAACCCTCCCACGTGCTCTGGATGGGCTCTGGGGCCTCTGTGCAGGTGGTCTGCTGTCGGGAAGGCGCGGCGTGCGGGGCGTCTCAAAGAAGGACAAGGTACCCACACCTGTACCCCCTCGCCCGTTTTCACCTTTCTGGGCCTCCTGTGATGCCCTCGTCGCCACCGCCGGATTCGCCTCGAAATCCTGGTCAGAACGCACCCCGGGAGAGGTCCGGGGAGTAGCGGTATCGATCCCTGTTGGTCTCCTCAGTGTCCAGGTTCCGTGTCCCGAAACAATGCCGCCACGAACGGCTTCGGAATGGGGCGGCAGAGAAGACTCTGGCGATGCTCCTGGCAGGCAGAGGTCCCAGTTCGAGCGTGGTGTGCTGCCCTCGCGTCCGAGTCACATCCAGGATGTAGCCAGGCGGGCGCCATCTCTTCCGTGGTGGCCCTTCCGAGTGTGGCGGCCAGTGGTCGCCCGCTTGAGAAGCCCAGGGCTTTTGCTCGGCGTTTCTTGCGCCTCGGATGCGGGAGACTATGGCTGCGTGCAGTTGGATTATATGAGGAGGAGGAGGAGGAGGAGGAGGAGGAGGAGGGGGAGGAGGAGGAGGAGGAGGAGGAGGTGGAGGAGGTGGAGAAGGAAGGAGGAGGGAGGAGGGAGGGAGGGAGGGAGGAGGGGGAGGACGAGGAAGAGGAGGAGGAAGAGGATGATGATGAGGAGGGTAGTAGTAGATGATGATGATGATGATGATGATGATGATGATGATGATGATGATGATGATGATGATGATGATGATGATGATGATGATGATGATGATGATGATGATGATGATGAGGAGGAGGAGGAGGAGGAGGAGGAGGAGGAGGAGGAGGAGGAGGAGGAGGAGGAGGAGGAGGAGGAGGAGGAGGAGGAGGAAGAGGAGGAAATGGATAGCATGACAACAAGGTGACACAAAAAGACTATTCGGTGCTCTCTGGGGGCCTCTTAGGAGCCTTTCGGGGGCCTCTTGGGTGCCTCTTGGGGGCCTCTTGGGGGCCTCTGGGGGCCTCTTGGGGGCGCCTTGGGGGCTCTTGGCCCCTCTGACGCCTTCAGGGCAGGTCGGTCAGGGGGCCCTTTGGGTTGTCTCGGTGCTCTCTTGGGGCGCTTTAGGGCCGTTCGTCGGATTCTCTTGGGAGGCTCTTGGGCGATGGTGGGGTCCTCTTGGGTCGCTGGGGCCGTCTTGGAGCTATCTTGGAGGCCTCTTGGGTCATCTTGGACCGTTGGAAACCCAAACAGGTGAGAACCTCAAAATCCTTAAAGCGCCTAAGGACCATGAAAATGTGTGTTCGCCTCGTCGGGAGCCTCCTGGGGCCTTTTGGGGCCCCTTGGGGCACCTTGGGGGATTTCTTGGCCCGTCTGACGCCTTCAGAGGCCGTCTTGGAGGCCTCTCTGGCCCGTCTTGGTGACCTCTTGGTGCGCTGGAGGGCCGTCTTGGGGCCATCTGGAGAGGCTCTTGGACCGACTTGGGGCCCTCTTTGGGAGCCTCATGGGCTGTCTTGGAGCTTTCTTTGGGGCCTCTTGGGGTCTCGGCGGTCGGAATCCCAAACACGTGAGAATCTCAACATCTTGCAAAATCTTAGGACGATGATTGTGTCTCGCCTCTGGGAGCCTCCTTGGGGCCTCTTGGGGGCCTCTTGGGGCCTCTTGAGGCCTCTGGGGGCCTCTTGGGCCGTCTGAGCGGGCGATTCGTTTGCCTGACGCCTTCGGAGGCAGTCTTGGGGGCCTCTTTGGGACGTCCTGGTGCCCTCTTGGAGCGCTTTATGGCTGCCTTCGGGCCCTCTCGGGAGGTTCTCGGGGCGATCTCGGGGTCATCTTGGGCCGACTCGGGGCGACGCCTCTGGGGCCCTCTCGGAGCTACCTTGGAGGCCTCTTGGGTCATCTCGAAGGGTCGGCAAGTAACTCAACGTGTTTTGCCTCCTCGGGCTCTCCTGGAGGTCCTGTCGGAGCCCTCTTCGGCCGTCGTGGAAGCCTCTCGAGCCGTCTCGAGGCCGTCTCGGAAGCCTCCTCAGCCGTTTTGTGCCATCCTGAGCCGTCCTGGTGTCGTCTCGGTTATCTTGGGTGCCGTCTTGGAGGCCAGGGTGGCATCCTGAAGGCCGACCAGGGCGCCGGAGAGCGAACCCATAACGGCCGATTAAAAAACGACGCTTACTGTTAAGTTTGGCATGCCCATCTACAAGAGGGTTTTCAAGAATAGTTAGCAAATAGTCTGGGGACGATTTTTCGTGCTCTTCTAACTATTTTGGATGTTTTTGACTATTTGCCATTTCTTCCAAAATCCGCCTGTAAGAGGACATGCCCGAACTAAGCTTACTGGTATGGGGGGGTCCGGGCAAGTTCCGGACACCAGAAACATGGTTTGACACGCCCGCCAGGCCCACCAGGCCTCCCACGACGGCCCAAGACAGCTCCAAGAGGACCCCCAAGAAGGCCCTTAGGCGCAAGCTTCAAGGTTTTCATTTGACTTTCACTGCTTTTCAGTATTATCGTCTTTTCGGGCTTTTGGCGCTCCAGGACGGCCGAAGAGGCGCTCAGGAAGCTCCCAAGAAGGCCCCATGACGGCCCAAGATCGGCCCAAGACGGCCGCAGATGCCCCCAGGACTGCCTCAGAGGGCCCCATGACCCCCCCAAGCGTTCCAAATCGTGGCCGAGCCGTGCAAGTGGCCCAGTGGCGTTCCCAAGATGTCCCCAAGATGGCCGAAGAAGGCTCCGACACGGCCCAAGAGCGCTCCACAATCCCTAAGATGGTCTCAAGACGGCCCAAGAGGCCCGGACAATTATTTTTTCTTCCCAAGGTAGGCTCGAGGCGTCTCAAGGTGTGTGTGTGTGTGTGTGTGTGTGCGTGTGCGCGTGTGTGTGTGTGTGTGTGTGTGTGTGTGTGTGTGTGTGTGTGTGAGTGTGTGAGTGTGTGTGTGTGTGTGTGTGTGTGTGTGTGTGTGTGTGTGTGTGTGTGTGCGAGTGGACCTTCGTCCACGTGCGAGTGTGCGTTTAGCTCTGGGTATTTCCCGTGATGCGTCTTGCGGCGGTCTTCACCGCCCCTGCAGCCAAGAGGGCTCCAAGAGGAGCCCCAAGAAGGCCTCGAGAGGACCCCCAAAGGCCTCGAGATGCAGCATTCGTGCGTTCCTTTTGGGCCACCCTGGCTTCCGGCATCCTCCCCTGGATCTGGTCTTCAGCACCCCAAGGCGGCCCAGGAGGCGCCCAAGCTTGCTCCAAGACAGCCCGAGAGGCCCCCTACGAGGGGAGGGCCCCACGACTGCCCGAAGCGGTCCCCGAGACGGCTCACAGTGCCCCCGGAAGGTGGCCGCAGAGAGAGAGAGAGCCCAATAAGGCCCGAGCTCTGGCCCGCGCCGCCCTGTCGCCCGCCTCGGGCTCGCCAGCTTTTCGGGCGGATGCCGCCCACGGGGGGTTTGGGCGGTGTCTTCCGTGGTGGCCCTCGCTGCGACGCGGGCAGGAGACCTTGCCTTCTCCCTCGCCCGCTCGCGCCTCGTACACTTATTCGCATGCACATGCATGTGCACACCTTCGCATGTGTAGCATGCTTTATTCTGCCTCTCTCTGTCTCTCTCTTTCTCTGTGTGTCTCTCTCTCTCTCTCTTTCTCTGATCAATGGGCCTCGTCATCATCTCTGTTTCAGCGACCTCCTTTTCATATTTGTATCTCCCTCTCCCTCCCTCTCTCTCTCTCTCGCTCTCGTTCTCTCTCTCTCTCTCGCTCTCTCTCTTTCGCATCCTCTCTTTCTCTCGCTCTCTCTCTCTCTCTTTCTTTCTTCCTCTCTCCTTTTTCCCTCTTTCCGTGTCTCTCTCGTCTCTCTCTCCCTCTCTGTCTCATTCTCTCTCTATGTATTTCTGTCTCCCGCATGTATACACACATATGTATATTTATATATATGTATACATACAAAGATGTCAACCAGTACATGTTAGTACATATATATATACACATATGCACGTACACATGCATCTACACATACATACAAACATGTATATATATGCACACCTAGTTATCCTTGTCCTACTCTCTTTCTGGTTGGCCATATGACGATCTGCCTTTGACTATATGAATTTCATTCTTCCTGTCCAGATGTCTCCCACTAGCTCGGCTCATCATTCGATTCTGCCTCTCTGTCTTTGTGTGTCCTTCTTTTCCTCTCTCTCACCCTCCCTCTCTCCCTCTCTCTCTCTCTCTTTTGTTCCCTCTCTCTCTCTTTATCTGCCCGGTTTTGTTAGCCAGCATGCTCGGGAAAGACCATAAGAGCCGGCATCATTTTCCAGTCGCCTGTCGAGTTTTGCGACAAACTGTAGAAACGTCAGCTCTCATTCGCAAGCGCACCTGGGTTCTTGTGTCTCGAGATGCCTTGGGTTGCGTCGCTCAGTGCCGTGTCCTGGCGCCCGAGAAGGGGGGATATTTGTGATAGAAGTATAATGTCCTTCCATATGGATGCATTATTTGTGCTGTTAGCGGCACGTGGGCCAACGTATTCTTGATTCGTCAGGCCTGCTAGCAGATGGCTACGACTTGTCGGTCATCAACATGGCTCTCACAATCCTGGAGAAGCTGTACCCAACGGATATGACAGCTAGCACCAAAGGAGGGGCGCTGTCGGCATGTGCTGTTCTTCTTATGTCATGGTCTGTGAGTGGTATCGTGACTGATCCTGATAGTCTTGCGGCCCCCATTCCACGCTTGTCCTTTCTGCTTCCCTCTTTTTTCTGTGGCGTCACCCGGCCTCCTTGTCCAACTCTTCGCGCTCATTCTTTCATTGCGTGGCCAGCAGTCTTTCACTCCCGCCTCTCTCCCTCTCAACCGATATGCGCAGACATCGAGGACGCCTCCGGCGTGTCACCGCCGCCCTCGTGTGGCCCCACGGAGGGCGCCTTTGCGGGCCCCTCAAGACGGCCGGCATCTGGGCGCCTCTTGTGGCCTCGCGGGCTGGACTTGCGGCCACCTTGGCCTTCGTGACGATCTCCTCGGACCGTCTTGGGGTTTCTTTTGGGGACCCTTCTCTGGGGCAGCCTTGCAGGTATCTCGAGGCCCTCTTTGGTCCGTTCTGGGGCGCTCTTCGGGGGCATTTGGGGCTCTCTTGGGCTGTCCTGGGAGCCTCTTGGTCGTCCTGGGTCTCTCTTGGGGTGTCTTGGGGCCTTCTTGGGCAAAATTGGGTCTCTTTCGAGCCGCTATGGGCCCTTCTGGAGGACTGCTTGGGCCATCTTGGAGCGTTCTTGGGGCGTGCTGGGCCGTCGTAGGGTCATCTCGGGACCCTGTTGGGGGCGTTCTGGGCTTCATTGGGCCTTGCCGAGGCCCCCTGCGAACCGTCATGTGCCGAAGAGCTTCGAAACCACGAAGATTTGGATAAGCTCAGGAAGCCTCAATTGTTTCGTCATGGTTTGATCTGTCTTTTGGCTCTGATTGGTCCCTCTTGGGGCGTCGCGGGCTGTTCCTCTATTTCTCTTCCTCCCCTCTCTCTCGCTGACCGTTCCTCTACCCCTCTCCCTCTCCCGCTCTCCTGTGTCCTTTCCGTCCCCTCCCTCGCTCTCCCCCGTCTTCTGCTCTCCTTTTCTCTCCTCTCTCTCTCTCGGTCTCTGTCTCTGTCTCTGTCTCTGTATCTCTCTCTGTCTCGGTCTTTGCCTCTGCCTCTGCCTCTGTCTCTGCCTCTGCCTCTGCTTCTATGTCTCTCTCTCTCTCTCTCTCCCCCTCTCTCCCCTCTCTTGAGTTCGCGACCCCGGCACCAGTGCACCGGTGCAACTCCGGGACCAGTGTCCACCGGGGTCCGGCGCATCGGCCGACCGCCCCATAGAGAGGGCTGTGCCTTCTCTCTCTCTCTCTTTCTCTTTCTCGTTCTTGTTCCATCTAGAGGAGGAGGAGGGGAGGAGGAGGAGGAGGAGGAGGAGGAGGAGGAGGAGGAGGGAGATTCCCCCCTCTCTCTCCGCCTCTGGACGCGTGCCCGAATGTCACCGGCACGGCAGGGCTCGTTGCGAGCATGACCCTCGTTGGCGTCATCGTGGGCCAGGTTACGTTTGGAACCATCGCCGACATCGTCGGCCGCAAGGCCACAGCTTTGGGTGCGAATGGAGCGGGAGATGGGGTCGAGGAGGAGGAGGAGGAGGATGAGGAGGAGGAGAAGGAGGAGGAGAAGGAGGAGGAAGAGGAGGATAATGAGGATGATGAAGAGGATCATCGGATGATGATGATGATGATGATGATGATGATGATGATGATGATGATGATGATGATGATGATGATGATGATGATGCTGATGCTGATGCTGATGCTGATGCTGATGCTGATGCTGATGCTGATGCTGATGCTGATGCTGATGCGGCTGCTGCTGCTGCTGCTGATGATGATGATGATGATGATGGTGGTGATCATGACGATGATGACGATGGTTATGAACATGATGATGATGCTGTTGCTGTTGATGATGCTGATGATGATGATGATGATGGTGATGATGATGATGATGATAAGGAGAAGGAGGAGGAGGGGGAATGGTGAGGTGTGTGGTGTTCAGGTCTCGCTATTGTACGGGCCCCTAGGCTTGCACGCGCAGATGCTTGGGCATTTGCATTCGCATGCGCACGCGCAGGAGCGAGGACGGAAGTGGTCGGAGTGAGTGGGCTTCCCCCAGGCCGCAGCGATCGCCACCACCACGCTGACCATCGGTGGCGCCATTGCGTCCTCCTGCGTCTTCCAAGGCTGGGTGGGAGGAAGAGGAGGAGGAGGAGGAGGAGGAGGAGGAGGAGGAGGAGGAGGAGGAGGAGGAAGAGGAGGAGGACGAGGAGGAGGAGGAGGAGGAGGAGGAGGAGGAGGAGGAGGAGGAGGAGGAGGAGGAGGAGGATGAGGAGGGAGGAGGAGGAGGAGGGCATGGATGCAGCAGTATGGTGGAGGCGGAAAGACAGGAAGCCGGGGAGCACGCCCTGGTGCAATGCGGCGGCGGTAAGGGGCCGGTCCTGGGCACGCCGCCGTGGCAGCGGCGGCGCGCGCTGATGTCGAGAGCAGCGCCGGCCAACTGCGCACGTTCGCGGCCATCGCGCGGATACCATCGCCTGCGTGAGCATCTGCGAGCTTACCTCGTGGACTCCTTCGAGGCTGCTGCGCCTTTATCACGGAGGACTCGGCCGCGAGGCCGTGAACGAGCTGGGCACCGCAAGACAGATTGCTACTCCGACTGCTGGCAGTAAGGACACGCCTTGTCCTCTACCGCACCATGGCGCCCAAGGCATTCGACCAGGAGAATTCTTGGAGTGATGCCGCAGCCTTATGGAGCTGTTTCTGGTGCAAGGCGGCGAACGGCAACCACCAGCTGCAGTGCGGCGCGCAGAGGTCGGCCGCCATTAAAGGCGCGGGAAGGCAGCGACTGAGGCAGGGTTCTCCCGCTACTGCAACGCGGGAAATTTGGAGCCCCCGATCTCCAAGGCCCAAGGGTTACACGGCCACGCGTGATTTCTCCATGGAGGCCAGTGAGCTCAACGAGTGCTAGTGTCTCTCCACGCTCGATGACCCGCCGTCGCCGCAAGGAGCTGCTGTGGATCTCGTTCCGTCAACGCCTTTTGCCGCGGACGCACAGCAGTGGAAGGAGGAGGTGGCCGCACCACGGCAGAGCTCGGCGTGAAGCACGCTGGCCGCAACATCCTGTTCCCCAGTACGTGCGGCCAGAGAGCCCTCCGCTTCGACGCGTCGCGCGAGACTGACGTGGTCATGCGCGTGTACCGCTGCCACGAGGGCACGACCTGGCCTTCCATGCTCCAGGGGACCGTCGTGCGGAACACGAGGGCCTGGCACTCAGTCGCCGTCAACCCCGAGATCGGCGTGGAGTGCTCGCCCGGGGAAACACCGACGGGGACGCCCCTCGATAACGCCGCCTCGTGCGTGGCATGCCGAGGCACCATGCATCACCGCCGAGGCCTAGCACTTCGCGGCGTGGCTTTCTGTTAACAGCCGCTGGAGTCGGCATTGTCCACCTCGGCGCGAGCTTAGCCGACACGCGGCGCGCAGCGCATTCCTCGTCGCCACCGTTGTTGGCCACCAGCAGGCCACCTGCCACGTGTGGTGGCGGCATCCTCGTCGCCACCAGCCGACGTCTAACGCGGGTGCGACGACGCCCACGTCGACTGCCACATGGCCTCCCTGCGGCGCCCGCGTCGCGGTGGGGTGGGGGTGGGAGAGGGCCGAGCTGCCCCCGACCGCGCCTCGCCGCCCTCGCTCCAGTGGGTTTCTGGATGTGAGGCGGTGGAAGGCCCCCGAATGGGTGAGAGGTCGTGGAAATGATACGTTTCAGGATTTCCAGGATTGGCAAGACATCCTGACGCTCCAGACTGGGCTGCTCACACGAGGGCCGCCAGATACTCCTTTGGAATTCTGGAACGTATTCTGAGCCAATCCTATCACGACAATTCCTGTCCCCCCGCTTGTCCTCCTCTTCTGGGACGTGGTGCCAGCGGAGGGGTGTCGCTCCCGAGCGCAGCGTGATTTTTGTTGAGGCGTCCTGCAGCCCGCGTGGCTGCAGCGTCCACCAGCGCCTTCCGTGGTGGCACAGCGGTGCAAGAATATGGAAGGAGGGGGGTGAGCAAGAGGAGAAGAGGGAGTAGTAGTAGTAGTAGTAGTAGTAGTAGTAGTAGTAGTAGTAGTAGTAGTAGTAGTAGTAGTAGTAGTAGTAGTAGTAGTAGTAGTAGTAGTAGTAGTAGTAGTAGTAGTAGTAGTAGTAGTATAGTAGTAGTAGTAAGTAGTAGTAGTAGTAGTAGTAGTAGTAGTAGTAGTAGTAGTAGTAGTAGTAGTAGTAGTAGTAGTAGTGGTAGATGGTAGAGTAGTAGTAGTAGTAGTAGTAGTAGTAGTAGTAGTAGTAGTAGTAGTAGTAGTAGTAGTAGTAGTAGTAGTAGTAGTAGTATAGTAGTAGTAGTAGTAGTAGTAGTAGTAGTAGTAGTAGTAGTAGTATCGTAGTAGTAGTAAGTAGTAGTAGTAGTAGTAGTAGTAGTAGTAGTAGTAGTAGTAGTAGTAGTAGTAGTAGTAGTAGTAGTAGTAGTAGTAGTAGTAGTAGTAGTAGTAGTGGTAGTAGTAGTAGTAGTAGTAGTAGTAGTAGTACTCGTGCAAGTAGTTGGTCGCAGCAAGAGGCTCCTTGGAGACGCGCAGGGGACGCTTTCAAGATGAGCCCAAGACAACGCCAATACGCTATCGAACTGAGGTATTTGCATCCCCCCGCGTATTGCTGGGAGCATCTTTTGTACATGTATGCTTGAATGTATGTATATAAGTAGGTATGCATGTATGTATGTATGTATGTATGTATGTATGTATGTATGTATATATATATACAGATGCATATGTATGTCTGAGCAACAGTTATCCAATTCTAATGCATCAGGTGGGCGGGATCCCGCCCAAACCACACAAGACGGCTGTCTTGCTAGCCTTGTAGGGGTGTGGGTGGGGGTGGGGGGCGTAGTCGACGCCTCCTGAATCATCGCCCTTCTGGGGGCCGCAGTCGCGGGGTGTTCATTTTTTAACGGTGGTTTTCCGTGATAAGGATCCTGGATGGGAGTGGGGACTCGTCTAGCTGTGGCGTTCATTGTGGTGGATCTGTTGCCTTTGTGAGGGTTCCGATTTCTCCGGAGTCCCTCGCCAAAAAGCGGACCGCAGAACGAGGAGGAGGAGGAGGAGGAGGAGGAGGAGGAGGAGGAGGAGGAGGAGAAGGACGAGGAGGAGGAGGAGTAGGAGGAGGAGGAGGAGGAGCAGAGGGAGGAGGAGGAGAAGGAGGAGGAGGAGGAGGAGGAGTGGGAGGGACTAGGAGGACAAGGAGCTGGAAGGGGAGGAGGATCAGTGAGAGGAGGAATAATGATATGAAGGAGGCCGTAAGATATTATCAATGAATATTGTAAGGCGGTCGGTGATGGTATGCGATGATGATGATGATGCTGATGATGCTGACATATAATGGTGATGATGGAGGTGATGATGATGCTGATGCTGATGCTGATGCTGATACTGATACTGATGATTATTGATGATGCTGCTGATGATGATGATGCTGACGATAATTGATGATACTGATGAGGCTATTGACGACGACGACGTCGACGTCGGGGACGACGACGAGGATTACGACGACGAGGACGACGAGGAGGAGAATGATGATGCTGTTGCTGTTGCTGCTGCTGATGAGGATGAGGAGGATGATGAGGATGAGGTTGAGGAGGAGCAGGAGGAGGATAAGGAGGAGTAGTAGGAGAAGGCAAAGTGAGGGCTGTGATAATAATATAATAATGAAGATTAAGAGGAGGGAAGACAGAAATAGGAGACAGGAGGGAGGTGGGTGCGCGGTGTAGGAGGCAGGAGCTAGCGTGGAAGGGGGAAGAGGGAGGGCAGAGGTTGGAGGGAGGAAGGGTGGAGGGAGTGAGCGGGGGGAGGATGACGAGCAGGAAGGATGACGGACGAGGAGGGAGGCAGGACGGAGGCGGTACGGGGGGACGCGCAAGTCGGAGAGGAAGGATGGAGAGCGCCCCTGGGAACCTCAAAAGGCAGAGGATGCCCCCAGACCTCGATCCCAGAACCTCGATCCTCGATCCTCGAGCCTTCGAGCCTCGCGCATCGGTCCCCGAACCTCGATCCTTGACTCCTCGAACCTCGATCCTCGAGCCTCGATCCTCCTCGATCCTCCTCGATCCTCCTCTATCCTCCTCCTCGACTCCTCGATCCTCGACTCCTAGATCCTCGACTCCTCGAGCCTCGATCCTCCTCGATCCTCCTTGATTCTCCTCCCCTTCTCCTCGACTCCTCGACCCATCGACCCCTCGATACCCCTCGAGGGGGCGCCTGGAGCCTGGGCCTGCAGCTCGTGCTGTGCCGCTTCGTCCTCGGGCTCGGCATCGGCGGCGAGTACCCGCTGTCCGCCACCATCAGCAAGGAGGTCGGGCCCGAGGCGGCCCGCTGCCGTCGGCCCGCGGCTGTGCAGGGGGGGGTGCCAGCCACGAGGACGACGACGAGGACGGCGAGGAGGACGAGGACGGCGACGAGGACGAGGACGACGACGAGGACGAGGACGACGACGAGGACGAGGGCGACGACGACAGCGACGACGGCGACGACGGCGACGACGACGACGACGGCGATGGCGACGGCGATGGCGACGGCGACGGCGACGGCGACGGCGACGGCAACGGCGGCGACGACGACGACACCATGAGCGAGGAGGTCGGGCCCGAGGCGGCCCACTGCCGTCGGCCTTCGGCTGTCCCAGGGGGGAGGGGCCAGGCCTCCAGAGTCTTGTGCGCGGTGTCGAACAGGTCTGCTCGGGCGAGCGCAAGCATGGAGCTCAAGGGGGAGGAGGGGAGGAGAGGCGAGGAAGGGGCCGGGAATAGCAATCAAACGTAACGGCGAAGGCGAAGGCGAGGGAGGCACACAGAGGCGGGGAGATAGAGGACGGAAGGGAAGAAGGAGGGAGGATGGCGGCAAGGGGGAGGGACGCGAATGTGGCTGAATGAGTCAGGCGATCGCAAACATGGATCAGGGGCCGCAAACATGAGCGAGGCGGCACCGGCCGCATTTTGAGGAGGGCACCTCCCCCGATCCGCGGATTTGGCGACCGCGCGCCAGACCCATGGAGAGCTAATCCATGTTTGCGCGCCCTCGATTTGTGTGCGATGTCGAGCAGATTTGTTTTTCCCTTTGCGTCGCGATGTTTTTTTCCTGCAGATCTGTCTTGTTTTAGTCGTGCAGACTTCGTTTGTTCTCGTCGCTGGATTTTTTCATGCTCATTTTGTTTTTCATGCAGATTTGTTTTGATTTATTTTTGTGCGACTGTTTTTGGGCGCTGCGACTGTTTTTCATACATTTTTCCTTTTCCAGAGTTTTGTGCGCTTTCAAGCAGACCCGGGCGCTGCAATTTTTTCTGTGGGTGTCTGTGCCCAGCTTCGGGCCCCAGGACCATGAGGGGTCGATCCCGCCCAACAGCCGCAGCAAGATGGGGCTCAGGGCTCCAGTCGCGACTCTTCGCGATGTTGCAAGTACTTCGCCGCGTCGGATCTCAGGGTCGCAATGTTCGACCTCCTGGGGGGCCTCTTTCGGGGATCCAGGAACGTCAACAAAGACGATCCCGGGCGAAGAGTTTGCTCGGGGAGGGGGTCCACACACATCCATACACACTGGCGGGCCCCGTCGCGAACCAAGTCACGACGACGTCGGAGGTCCAGGCGGGTTGGCGTGGAGCGGGATGACATGCAGAGGCAGAGCAAGTGCAGGAGCGCAAAACGGACGATGACGGCGACGATAAGGATGATGGCGACTCCGGCTCAGATGGTAATGACGACGATGGTGGTGGTGACGATGGTGGTGGTGGTGGTGTTGCTGCTGATGATGATGACGATGATGATTAGGTTGATGACGCCGACAGCAACCACGACGATACTGGCACCGCTGATGATGAGTACACGATGATAATGACGATGACAATGACTATGCTGACGATGATTACGATGATGACGATGATGATGATGATGATGATGATGATGATGATGATGATGATGATTATGATGACGATTATCATGGTAGTTACGATTAGGATGATGACGATGACGATGATTAGGATGATGACGATGATGACGATGATGACGATGATGACGATGATGACGATGATGATGATGATTAGCGACGCGCTACCCGCTTGCAGGGCACAGTGTTTCGCTGGGACCTCCACCGCGACACGCGCAGCAAAAGTTCCTGACCGTAAGCATAAGACGCATTAACGATGTTGCAATCATAACCCCTCCCTCCAAGTTCCCTTTGAATAGGTCTCTACAAGAATTTTATGTTGATTGCGGGAAGCGCCCCATTGAAAGACACTGTCTGAGAATCCCGACTCGCGCCAAAGCGCCCTTCGTGGGACTTCAACGCCGTGAATCAACGTGAATGTTGCGTCCTGACGGTCCTAATCGTGACAGAACTCCTTTCCTTGGGCTTCGACATCGCATATCAACTTTACTGTTGCGTCCTGACAATCCTAAATTGCCAGAGCGCTATTCCTGGGATTTCAACCCTGGGAATCCTTGAAACTGTTGCGAACTTTCAAGACGAATGTGCGCGGCACTAAAGCGATAACTTCATTTTGGACACGGAACCGCCCTTCATCCTTGCAGCGGATGCAATTTTTTAAGATGAGTATGCGCGGCGCTAAGGCGAGAGCCGCATGTTGAACACCAGCCGTCCTCCATCTGTCAAACTGTTGCAAACATTCAAGCTTCATGATCACAACCTCCGTCCCCGAGACTGTTGTACCTATCGGTCGTTGAAAGTAGGTATTTTGGGATTCCCAGTCTCCAATCTGCTTTAGGCGCCTTCCTCCTTCAATGATCGAGTGGCTTCACCTTTTCCGTTCTCTTTAGGGGGCGGGCGAACACCCAATCTATGTTCAACGCCTTCTTACTTCAGGTTTCCACCTACTTCTTCCGACCGATGGGTAAACTTTGAAGACGGACGAGCGCGGCGCTAAGGCGAGAGCCAGCCACACTTTGATGAACATGATCCTCCTCCGTCCGCGGGGCTCTGCAGCAGACTTTCGTAAGAAGGATGTGCGCGGCGCGAAGGCGAGAGCCACACCTTGAAAACGCGCCCTCGCCATGGATGAAACGATTGCAAATTTCAAGCTACAGGATCATGCACAGCGAGGGTTCTCGGGCCAAGCGCTCGGTGCGTCCTGCCGACACGCCTGGGGGTGCGGCAGGCAGGCGTCATCTACAAGGAAGAGTGGTGGACGAGGAGTGTGAGAGAAAGGAGTAGAGCGAGGCTGAAAAAGGAAGAGGGAGGATCAGGAGGAGGGAGGGGACAGCTGGGTCGGCGGAAGAGAAGGGAGGCGGAGGAGAGGGAGGAAGAACAGGAGGAATGTGCAGCATGATCAGGAGGAGGGCGCCAAGGGGAGCCACAACGGCGACACTGCGCCCCTGGTCCTTCTCTGCCATCGGGTGCTCGACTCTTGGCACAAGCTCTCTGGGAATGATCTGAACCAGTCCGAGGTGTAAATCTGGACCGCCTCCGGGTGTAGGAAAGTCCTCTGCCGGAGAGAAGGGGGATGGACCAGGGACAGGGGCTCGAGTTTTTGGTCGGAATCCTCATCTCGACTGCCTCCGCTACGAGAACTGCCCCCACCTCCACCTCCTCTTCCTCCTCTTCCTTTCTCTCTGCCGCCACGACTGTTAAGCCGGGCATGTCCCTCTACAGGGGGAAAATTCAATAACAGGGAAACAATGGTCTGGTGACGACTTGTTGTGCGTCCTTGAGTGTGTTTGACCATTCCTTGTTTTTGTTGTTGACGTTGTTGTTGTTTTCGTTGTTGTTGTTGTTGTTGTTGTTGTTGTTGTTGTTGTTGTTGCTGTTGCTTCTAGGAAAAAACATCTTTCCAACATCCGCCCGTCGGAGGACATGCCCGACCTAGCACCGCCACTCCTACCCCCCTCCGCGTCCTCCGACTCTTGCCGGGCAGGCCGGCGGAGTCGCGCGGCGGGCCCGCGCCCTCTGTCGCTCTGGGTCGGGACACGCCCCCCGTGGCGCGTGTGCCGGGGGCGGCCACTGTGCCCCCTTGGGGGGGCCCGCGGAGCCCCAGCCCGCGGTGCGAAGTCCAGCAGCTCGGCGGCGAGCGAGGGGGGGGGGGAGGGGAGAACGGAGGAGGCCTCCTCGGAAGGCGGCGCGGGGCTTCTCGGGGGCCCTCCCGCCTTTCGACAGGGTTCTTCCCCGTTGATTCGGGGAAGGCTTGGGAGGCTTCTCGGAGGGCCAGGGGACTTCTGGGCCTCCTGAGAAGGCCCGCCCCTTCTCACTTCCCCCCGGGCACGCCGCCGAGCAGTGGAGACGGTCTAAGATTGCACGGTTCACGCGGTGTTCGACGAGGGGTTCGATTGCAGAATTGCTTTCCCCCGAAAACTGGATTTCTCTCGTCGGATCTGCGTACGAGAAGTGCGCAGAGTGTGCTCGACAGCTCTCGGGGCATCCTGCGCACCTTCCCCGCAGATTTCACGGAAATGTCAGGGTTTGGGGCAAATCAGTTCTGTCGTCGATCCCCTACAGTCGGGGCCCTGAAGAAGGAACCCTTTTCGTTGGGGAGGGGCTCCGTGTTCCTTCAGTGTTGGATTTTCTTTAGGTTTTCGATACGAAATCGAAGTTCAACTTATGCAAAACAGGGGCCTCGTTCCTTATTTAGGGTTCCTTAGGTCAACGCCTCGACTGTACTCGAGGTGTCGGGGACCACGGCGTCGTCAAAGCAGGAACCGCAGCCGTGGCCCGTGGCGGCGGTGCCGCTTCTTCCCCCGGCGAGCCGGCGCGTTCGCCTCGCAGGTGTCCCTCCAGCTGGTCCAGCCCCGGCCGTTGCTGTTTCTGGTTGCCTCCAGCTCCCTTGGCATCGCTCGGGCGTGTGCATTTTTTCCTCGGTGGGGACCATCGAGGAGCATCCTTGATCATTTGGCGGAAAAACCACGCACGCAAACTTAAAAAAACAGGGAATGGACGTCCGAGCGATGGCGAGCTCCCGCATGTTTCTCCAGGCCACGCCGCCGACTCTTTCGTTTCCGTTTTGTTGTCGACCTTTCCATCTTGCCTCCGGAGATGAGTAGTTAGGCACGTCCAAGGCAAGTCAACCGTCAGTGTCCCGCGGAGGTCCTCAAGCTCACGCGCTCACAGCTGCTGATCATGAACATGATGACCTTCAACATCGGAGTGGCCATTCAATCCATACTCACCATCGCCCTGTGGGGGAAGGGGCGGGGGAAGGGAATCAATCGTTGCACATACCATTGCGGTCACCTATCGTCTCCTTTGCCCCCCTTCCTCTCTTTATTCCCCCCTCAACGAACAGGGAGGTAGAGATAGGAGTTGCATTGGGTACGACCCGAGAAGGTAGAGGAGGCGGAGGAGGTTCATTATTATGGTTCTGGCGCCTCGACAGCTTTGTCACGACTACTACTATCAGTTTTTATTATATTATCGACAGACGAAGTGATACCAGTAGTAATAGAACTAGTGGTAGCGACATTAATCGTAGTAGTATTACTAGTCGAAGAATTTGTAGTAGATGTATTAGTTGTAGTCACAGTGGTCGACCGAAAACCAAACGACACCACCCCACCTACGGCCCTCCATTCTGCGCCTCGGCCCATCGGGCGCCGTAGCGTATACCACGCAACAACACACGCCAGCTTTCCTGGTATACGCTAAGGCCCCTGGTGCCGTAGGTGGGGTGGTGCCGTTTATTTTCTGGCCCAAGTGGTAGTGGCAGTCGTAGCCGTAGTAGTAGTAGTCGTTGTAGTCATCGTCGTCGTCGCAGTAGTAATGGGAGTAGTTGTCGAAGCGATGGTAGTAGTATTGCTGTTTTTATTCGTCGTGATCGTCGTAGTGGTGGCTCTCCTACTCGCAGTTTTAGCAGTAGCAGTAGCAGCGCAGTAATAGCAGCAGCAGTAGTAGTAGCAGCAGTAGTAGTAGTAGTAGTAGTAGTAGTAGTAGTAGTAGTAGTAGTAGTAGTCGTCGTCGTAGTAGTATCAGTAGTACTAGCAGCAATAGTAGTAGTTGTAATGGTCATAGTAGTAGTAGTAGTAGTAGTAGTAGTAGTAGTAGTAGTAGTAGTAGTAGTAGTAGTAGTAGTAGTAGTAGTAGTAGTAGTAGTAGTAGTAGTAGTAGTAGTAGTAGTAGTAGTAGTAGTAGTAGTAGTAGTAGTAGTAGTAGTCGTAGTAGTAGTAGTAGTAGTAGTAGTAGTAGTAGTAGTAGTAGTAGTAGTAGTAGTAGTAGTAGTAGTAGTAGTAGTAGTAGTAGTAGTAGTAGTAGTAGTAGTAGTAGTAGTAGTAGTAGTAGTAGTAGTAGTAGTAGTAGTAGTAGTAGTAGTAGTAGTAGTAGTAGTAGTAGTAGTCGTAGTAGTAGTAGTAGTAGTAGTAGTGGTCGTTGTAGAGTAGTAGTAGTAGTAGTAGTAGTAGTAGTAGTAGTAGTAGTAGTAGTAGTAGTAGTAGTAGTCGTAGTAGTCGTAGTAGTAGTACACGTAGTAGTAGTAGTAGTAGTAGTAGTAGTAGTAGTAGTAGTAGTAGTATGAGTAGTCGTGGTAGTAGTCGTCGTCGTCGTCGTAGTAGTAGTAGTAGTAGTAGTAGTAGTAATAGTAGTAGTAGTTGTAGTAGTAGTAGTAGTAGTAGTAGTAGTAGTAGTAGTAGTAGTAGTACTCGTAGCACTAGTCGTCGTAGTAATGGGAGTAGTCGCTGCAGGAATAGCTTTGGTGGTCTTACGAATTGTAGTATTCTTGGTGGTCGTTATAGGAGTAGTGGTAGAGATGTAACCGTGCATCCAAGACGACTCCTGCTCTCAACCGTAGGGTTTCAACCACTATGATGATGGTGATGCGATTGGCGATGGTGATGACGATGTTGTTGATGTTGAGGATTACGCGCATGATGCTGGTGATTCTGGTGATGGCGATGATGCAGATAATGATGGTGGTGGTGATGATTGTGGTGATGCTGATGCTGTGGGGAAGGAGGAGGAGGAGACGGAGGAGGAGGAGTCTGAGAAGGAGGCCGTGCAGGATGACAACGAGAGGGATGAAACGCCGGGGGCTCGCTTGGGCCATCTTGGGGCGACTTTGAGGTCTCATTGGCGCATCGGAAGCGAAAGTGCGATGATGCTCAACCCATTTATTTCCCTAGGCAGTTGTAGGATTTTGGCCTCTTGGGGAGGTCCTGGGAGGGCTCCGAGAGCACTTGGATCCGTTTGTGGCCCTCGTCGGGCCTTTTGGAGGTATGTAGGAAGCCATTTTGAGCCATCTTCGGCTATCTTGGGCCATCATGGGCTAAAGAGGACCCTCCGCCACCTCGCATTCCCCCCCCCCCCGCCACCTAAGAAACGCCTTCTGGGAGAGGGGGAAGATACCATTCCCAGGAAGGAAGAGGGGTTTTGGAAATGAACCAAAAAACATCGCTAGACCACCTTCGCCCACAGGGCTGGCGGGACTTTTCGGCCAGAGGGTCCAAATTGTGCAGCAGCTCTACGGGTGGAGGGCGGCTCCTTTTCAAAATGGGGCCCTCTCTCTCAAGATTTCCGTTCGTTTCATGGCCCACTGCTTTGGATTTGTTCAACGCTTGCACACATCGGTCGCAGATTCTTCTCAACATTGGGCAAACGATGGGCACATCGTTGAGCTGTATCATCTCACCTCCTCTTCGCGTTCCTTTCAGAGAAAAGGACAGAGGGTGGATCCTTTATAAAACGGGTTCTCGCCAGAGTGGCAGGCTCACCAGCGCTCGTCAGTCAAGCGGGATCGTTCCCGCAGTGGAGAGGACAAGGTGTAGGGACTCGTGAGGGTGGGACTTCGGACGGGAGGGTACGTTGCAGCATCGTTGATCTGGGTTTACTTTGGTCCTCCTCCTCCTCCCTTTTCCCCTCCGCCGCCTCCTCCTGCTCTCTCCCTCCTTCCTCCTTCTCTCTCCCTTCCTTTTCCCTCCTCCTCTTTTCTCCTCCTCCTCCTCCTCGTTTCTCAGATGTCCCCGCGGGGAGGTTGTCCTGCCACATGGACCTTGGGAGCGTGTGGCGGCTGATGTTCGCCTGCGGCGCTGCGCCGGCCTTCCTCGCATTCGTCCTGCGGCTGCAGATGGAGGAGCCTCTTCCCTCCCTGCCCTCCTCCTCCTCCTCCCCCTCCTCCTCCTCCTCCCCCTCCTCCTCCTCTCCTCTCCTCCTCCTCCTCCTCCTCCTTCTCCTCTCCTCCTCCTCTCCCTCCTCCTCCTCTCAGCATCCTCTGCCTCCTCCTCCTCCTCTTTCCCCCCCTCCTCGTCGTTCCCCTCTCCTCATCCCCCTTCTCCTCCCCCCCCTCCTCCTCCTCTCCTTCCTCCATCCTCCTCTCCCCCCCCTCCTCCTGCTCCTCCCGCTCCCCGTCTTCGGTCCAACCTCCTCCTCATCTGCCATCTGCGCTGCGCGGCGCGACCGCTCCGAGTCTCTCTGATTTGCTGTGGGTCGCTTTTGCCGATCCGTGGTCATGGTCCCCCCCTCCTCCTTCTCCTCCCCCTCCGTCTCCTCCTTTCCTGGGCTGAGAAGACGACGACGGACGACGGACGACAACAAAAGACGACGACGACGACTACGACGACGGCGACGACGATGATGACGGTGATGATGCTGATGCTGATGCTGAAAATGACAATGATGATGACGACGATGATGATGATGCTAATGATGATGATGATGATGATGATGATGATGATGATGATGATGATGATGATGATGATGATGACACTGATTATGACGATTATGTTGCCGATGATGATGATGATGATGCTGCTGCTGATGATGATACTGATGATGACGATCATGATGCTGATGATGCTGACACTGATGATGCTGAGGATGCTGATGATGAGGATGACGACGATGACGACGACGACGACGACGACGACGATGATGATGATGATGATGATGATGATGATGATGATGACGATGATGATGATGATGATTATTATTATTATTGGTGATGATGGATATGAATGCTGACTATGATGGCAATGATGCTGATGCTGATTCTGATGATGCTGATGATACTGATGATGATGATGGAAGCATTATTATGGTGATGGTGATGGTGATGGTGATGACGACGACGATGACGATGATGAGGATGCTGATGCTGATGCTGATGCTGATGATGATGCTGACGATACTGACGGTGCTGATGGTGATGCAGATGCAGTTGCTGCTGCTGATGATGCTGCTGATGATGATGATGATGCTGATGAGGCTGCTGCTGATGATGGTTATGGTTATGACGATGACGATGGCGATGATGACGACGATGACGATGATGAGGATGATGATGACGATGATGATGCTGCTGCTGATGATGATGATGCCGATGCTGATGGTGCTGATGGTGCTGATGATGCTGATGCTGATGCTGCTGATGATGCTGATGATGCTGATGATGATGAGGATGATGCTGACGATGCTGAGGATGATACCGACGACGACGATGGCAATGACGATAATGATGACGTCACTGTTTCTACTGATGATTGTTATGATGATGAGGATGATGATGCTGCTGATGGTGGTGATGATGATGATTACGTTGATGCTGATGCTGATGCTGATGCTAATGATGATGGCTGTGATGATGATGCTGATGATTATGATGATGGTGATGCTGATGATGATGATGCTGATGACGATGATGATGATGATGATGATGCTGATGATGATGATGATGATGATGATGATGATGAAGATGATGATGATGATGATGATGATGATGATGATGATGATGCTGATGCTGATGCTGATGATTATTATTATGATGATGATGATGATGATGATGATGATGATGATGATGATGATTTCGATTTTCGAATCCTCGAATCCTCGAATCCTCGACTCTCCAGGCTCGAGGCTTGACGGCGACGATCCTGGCGGCGGCGGCGACGACGGCGGCTGCGGCCGCGGCCAGTTCGGGTGCAGTGGCCTCGCCAACGGCCGCGAGGGAGGCAGGGAGGAGGAGGGAGGGCGGGGAAGTGAGGGAGGAGGCAGGGAGGGAGGGAGGGAGGGTGGAGGGAGGGAGGGAGCGAGGATGGAGGATGATGGTGAGCGTAGAGGTGATGATGATAATGATGATGATGCTGATGATGATGATGATGATGATGATGATGATGATGATGATGATGATGATGATGATGATGGCGATGCTGGTGATGCTGCTGCTGATGATGATGCTGCTGATGCTGATGATGATGCTGATGATGTTGGTTCTGATGCTGCTGATTGCGATGATGCTGAGTATGATGTTGATGATGACGATGCTGGTGATGCTGTCTATGATGATGATGATGATGATGATGATGATGATGATGATGATGATGATGCTGATGATAATCACGATGATGATGACGATGACGATGATGACGATGATGATGCTGATGATGATGGTGGTGGTGGTGATTATGATGATGGTGCTAATGATGCCGATGATGGTGACGTTGACGATGCTGATTCTGCTGATGATGATGTTGCTGATGATGATGGTGCTGATGATGTTGATGATGCTGATATTGATGATACCGACGACGACGATGGCAATGACGATAAGGACGACGTCGCTGTTTCTGCTGATGATGGTTTTGATGCTGCTGATGATGATGCTACTGATGAAGATGTTGATGGTAATGGTGACGGTGATGGTGGGGGTGATGATGATAATGATGATGCTGATGATGATGATGATGATGGTGGTGGGGGTGGTTGTGGTGATGATGCTGATGCTGATGATGCTGCTTATGATGATGCTGATTCTGGTTATGATGATAATGCTGCTTCTGATGATGATGATGATGATGATGATGATGATGATGATGATGATGATGACGACGATCATGATGACGATGGTGACGACGATGATTATGACGATGATGAGGAGGATTGGGCTTAGGATGAGTAGGAAAAGGAGGAGGAGAACGATGATGGTCCTGATATGTTCTGGTGTTGATGATGTTGATGCTAATGATGAGGCTGATCATTCTGATCTGCCGGTGCTGGAGGTCGCATGAGCTTTGGCCATGTAGCCGGTGGAGCTCCCGTGGCCGCCTGTGTGGGGCCCAGATCCTCGCGAGCCCCGGGAGGCGGCGCCACGCTGCCCTCTTCGCTGTCGCGGCCTTCTCGACTGGCCCGAGTTCCGCCATCCTTTTGAGGGCGGTGTAGGCCGTGGTGGTAACGTACAGTCGGGGCCCTGAAGAAGGAACCCTTTTCGTTGGGGAGGGGCTCCGTGTTCCTTGATTGCTTCACAGTTTGCCTTCTGTTTTCCGTAGGTTTTCGATGGGAAATCGAAGTTTAACTCATGGAAAAAAGGGGCCTCGTTCCTAATTTAGGGTTCCTTAGGTCAACGCCCCGACTGTAGGCAGTGGTGGTAACGTGGGTGTCGATGCTGCCAATCTCGACCTGGCTGGTGCTGTGCGCACGGCCGCTGCAGGAGGAGCTGGTGGTTTGGCACTTGGGCGCCTAGGTCGAGCTGGAGCCCTCGGCTGCTGAGGCAAAAGTATAGTCGATCAGCTGCCCTGCACGATGCGCGCGCGCCTCGTCACCAAGGTGTCTAGCAGCTCTCGCGGAAATCGAGCGACTGGCGGTGCGGAAGGAGGGCCGCTTTGTGGCGGCGCGTTTGCAGCCTCTCTGCGGAGGCCAGCCTCGAGCATCGCACCCGATGGCGCCAGAGCAAGACGGGATATAATTCATGTGCTGTCGTAATTTTGCAGGGTCATGGCATGTCCCCTAGACATGCAGAGTCCACTTCGTCTTCAGCGAACGGACTTGTAGTACATGAGGATGGTGACCACGAGTACGCATGACGTGTGAGTTTTGGTGTGGACCTACCCTGTTGCCATCCTCGTCGTAAATGTGCAGCGCGATTTACGTTAGGAACTATAGCGTCACGTGCAATGCATTTGTTGTCGTACTGTAGTGCACTTAAGTATTTGTGGCCGCCCGTGCCATTCTGCTTTGCTTTTTTGACTGCTTCTCTTCCTCCTCCTCCTCCTTTACTTTCCCCCTCATCTCCTCTGCCTCCTCCTCCTTCTCTCCTCCTGCGCCTCCTCTCCTCCTCCCTTCTCCGTCCTCCTCCCTCCTCCCACCTCCGTCTGGTAATCGATGAGACTGCGCCTGGTAATCGATGAGACTCCGCCGACTTAGCGTTGATAAGTGTCGATTTAGTGTTGACTAGCGCCGATTAGCGTCGAAACTCGCGTCGGTTGGCGTCGATTCGCAAGAGCCAGCAAGATGACACGGGAGGCTCCGATGAGTTGCCACATAAGGAGACGGAATGCCAGCGGAAGCCGGCGGGCGTACAACGAGGGCGGTTCCGCCGGCGGAAGTTGGCAGAAGTAAGATCGTTCCCCCCAAGTTTTTTTTGTTTTTTTGATTCAGCCTGCCACATGGTGCAGCCATGCTGTTTTCCCCCGGCTTCATAACTTCAGCAGCGCGAGGCGCTGCCGGCGATGCGGCATTCTTACCATCATTACCGTTTCCATCGTGGTTACCCTCACCTCCACCACCAGAGCACTTTAGCGTCGGCGGCTAGGCAGGGGGACGTCTGCCCTGGCGATGGGATGCCTAAACGGGGATGCCGTTAGAGCGAATTGTGCCACCATGGCAAGAGGAGGAGAGGGGGGGAGGCGCGGCCGAAAAAGTGGCGGACGGAGCGAGCGGCTCAGGGGGGGACGGATCGCTCCCCGAGCGAGCGGTGCGGCCAGCCCCGCCGGCGAGTCCGCGGCGGCTGCTGCGTCAGCGGGCCAGCGGCGGCGGGACCCAGTTCAGGGATGGATGGTTATCCCGAGCAAAGGGGTGCGTGACGATCAGTATCATAGCCAGATGGCACCGCCAGAGCACACACATTCTTGTCCGTCGCCCCGGAGTCGTGCCCTGGGATCTCGAGCACCTCTTCGAGGAGCGGCGGGTGCAGACGCCTGCCCGCCCCTGGGAGCGGGAAGGACTCGTGCGCATCCACCGCTCCCCAGGTAGTCTCGGGGCAGGACACGGGAGGCCGGTCATCGCCTTTCCGACGCCATGATACGTCACAACGAGGTCAGGGGCAGCTTTAGGGGAACAAAAAGTGGCATAAACATAAAAGCTCGGAGGTCCGCGCGGATTTCTCGGATCGGCGCTGGACCCCCCTCCCTGGCGCGCGAAGCGCGCCAGGGGCGGCGCCGGAGGCGCCGCCGGGGGGCCCCAGCGCCGATCCGAGAAATCCGCGCGGACCTCCGAGTTTTTATGTTTATGCCACTTTTTGTTCCCCTAAGCTTTTGAGGCGCGGGGGCAGGCTCAGGGGGGGGGACTCATCGACCCGCAATCGCCCATTCCTCTCCCATAAGGGGCCCATAGGTCCCCCCCCCCCCCCGCCTGCCGAGGAGGTTGCGGTATTGCGTGCGCCATCGGGGGCCCCTCGCCGATCTGTCGGCGACGTGTTGCCGATTCCAGCTCGCTGTTTCCCTCCTGAGCCAGTCCCCCCCGACGCTTCCACTCGCACAGGACTCCAAAAGGTATCGGATGCTGTCGACCCCTTCCCTGGGGTGTCTTGTTGTTTGCTTGCTATGTTTTCGCCCCCAGTCTTTCTGTGAGGGCCCCGGGGCCCCGCGAAGGCCCCTCGAGGCCAGAAGCGGTCGACAGCCTTTGTTGCGCTCTTTCCACAATGCGAGGCCTCATCGGCAGCAGTGCCACTGTTGTCGTGCCGTAGCGTCGGCGTCGCCATCAGCCATCGGCGGCGCCGTCGCGGAGCTCTGGGCCGCTTTGGGCTCAAGAGGGGCTCGGGTTTTTGGGCCATTCCTTAGATCTAGGTTTAAGTCGGGCCTGTCCCTCTACAGGAGGAAAATTCAAAAATAGTCAACAAAATAGTCAGGGGACGATTCTTCTTTTGAGCAGCAAAATTGCTTTTGACCATTTGGGCGTATTTTTTGAGTATTTCTCATTTTTCGTCTAAAATCGGCCTGTAGGGGGACATGCCCGACCTGAATAATCTAGGTCGGGGAAACTCTTCGTGGCCGAGGCTGACCGTGGTCAGGGAGGCCCCTTCGCTCCTTACTCAGCGTTCCTTCTGGTAGTGCGTCGACTGCAGTGCGTCCAGACGTCGCCGCGCGTCGCCTCTGCATAGGAGCCCGACGCCACGGACCTCGAGGGCGTGGTGCACGAGAGGCGGGACAGGCAGAGCTGGCAGCACGAGCTCCTGAAGGCGGCTGGGTCGTTCTCGTCCGAGGCCGGAGGCTTGCGGGCGCTTCTGGCTCTTGTTTCGAGCAGGGGATCGACTGCAGAAGTGATTACCTCCGAGACCGATCTTTCTCGCCGAGTCCCTGAGAGAGCGCAGACCGTTCCCAGATCCACGGGCGCTCCGCGCACTCCTTGCGGACTCGACGTGGCGGCCAGTCTCTTGGCAGATCGGTTCTGTGGTCGATCCCCCGCTCGATCTCTGGGGCCTCCGCGGAGCTCTCGCGGCCGCGGCTGGGTCCGCCTCGCAGTGCCGGCCCAGAGGGCCTCCCGGGGCAGCTCTGGGGACGGACCTCGCCGTGCAGTCGGGAGGGCGCTTCGGGCGTCCGCGGGCCAGCCAGTCTCCGACGCCGCGGGGCCCCTTCCCCTTGCACTCCTCCTCCCCTCCTCCTCCTCCTCCGCCTCCGCCTCCTCCTCCTCCTCCTCCTCCTCCTCCTCCTCCTCCTCCTCCTCCTCCCCCTCCTCCTCCCCCTCCTCCTCCTCCTCCTTCTCCTCCGCCTCCTCCTCCTCTCCTCCTGCTCCTCCTCCTCCTCCTGCTCCTCGTGCTCCTCCTGCTGCCGTTGCTCCTTCTCTTGGCTGCCCTCCTGTGCCGGCAGTGTCCGCAGGGATCATACCAGGGGGACAGCGCATGGAGAGTGAGGAGGAGGAGGAGGAGGAGGAGGAGGAAGAGGAGGAGGAGGAGGAGGAGGAGGAGGAGGAGGAGGAGGAGGAGGAGGAGGAGGAGGACGAGGTGGAGGACCAGCGGGGGGCGGAGAACGAGGAGAGAGGCGGACGAGGTGGAGGACTCGGAGGCAGGAGGAGGAGGAGGAGGAGGAGGAGGAGGAGGACGAGCAGGAAGGAGGAGGAGGAGGAGGTGGAGGAGGAGGACCAGTGTAAACCCAGGACTCATCAAAGATGTTGGAATCAACCCTCCCTCCAAGCTCCCTCTTCAGAGGCTCCTACAAGGGTTCATTTCCACTGAGGGCACTAAACTGCTTTGTTGGGCGATAACCGTTCGAAGACTCTGAAGCGTGCGAAAATACCAGTGTCGGGACTCCAGTGCCACGAATCAACCTGACGGTTGCGTATTGACGATCCTGAACAGTTCTAGAGTTGTGGGGGACGATCAATGGAGAGGAAGCGTGTTGCCAAATAATTTCCAGATGTCTAGAACATGTGTTAAACTTGTCTTAAACATGTTAAACACATGTTTGAACAAATTTTAAACACATTTCCGACATTTTTAACACATTCCGACATTTTAAACACATTTTTAATTCGATGATAGGACTGTTAGGGTGTCCATTGTCGTTGCATCCACAATTCTAGAACACCATTCCTGGGACTACAACACCGCGAATCAACATACTTGTTGCGCCCTCACAATCAGGAATTTTCTCAAACACCATGTCTGGTACATTGACCATGGGACACCGTGCACTTATTGCACATGTTTAAGACGAGTATGCGCGGCGGGCGCTAACGCGAGAGCCATATTTTGAAAAGGAACCGCCCTCAATTGATACGCTTGCAAATTGTCAAGACGAGTGTGCGCGGCGCTAAGGCGCGAACCACATTTTGAAAACCACCCGCCCTTCCCGTGAAACTCGCGTAATGGTTTAAGACGAAAGCGCGCGGCGCGCTAAGGCGAGAGCCACATTTGAAAACGACCCGCCCTCAACCCGTGAAGCTCTTGCAATGTTTTAATACGCATGAGCGCGGCGCTGAGGCGAGCGCCACATTTTGAAAACCACCCGTTTGCGATCCGTGAAGCCCTTGAGTTTTTTAGAACGAATGTGCGCGGCGCTAAGGCGAGAGCCCCATTTTGAGAATCATCCGCCTTCCATCTGTGAAACTGTTGCTAATTTCTAAGCTTCAGTGTCGTACATGGTGAGGAAATCTCATGCGAAACGCCCGGTGCGCCTTTCCGACCTGCCTCGGGGTGCGACAGGGAGCAGATATTCACAAGGAAGAAGAATGGATGAGGAGGAGGAGGAGGAGGAGGAGGAGGATACGGCACTGACTGGACACCGTCGCGCGGGGCACCGACGGCCACAGCAGAAAGGAGCGAGCCCAGAAGGCTTCCCCCAAGCTCGAAGGACGAGGCTCAACCCACCAGGGGATCACGGTTGAGCACTCCCGAGCCAGCGGGCCTGGCGGCGGCGGCGACGAAGCAGCACGGCGGGCGGCGCGCGGGGGCGCGCCTGCTGTGGAAGAAGAGCAGGAGCCGCCACGCGAGGGTCGCGGGGCGGCCGCGCGCACCGTCGCTCCGACCGTCCGCCCCGCCAGGCCAAACAAAAAACAAGCGAATTGGCCGACCAGGAGTTTCCCAGGGGCCGAAGCGGCAGGAAGCCGCCCAGAGAGAAAGCCCAAGGAGCCCCGAGACCAGAAACCAGAAACGGGCTCAACACAGGGAACTCATCCAAGCCTTAGCCATGTGACCTCTGGGTCACTGGCAAGCAATGGACGAGAAACAGGAATACGACGGCTGCTGGTTGCACCTTCATCGGCTGGGTGAAGCCCTTCCAAAAACAACTTCCTGTTTCGGGCAGCCCTCTCCGACAAAACTTGAGGGACTGTGAATCCAGGAGCAGGTGGCCAGCAACTCCAGTAGTGTAAAAGCCACACTTAATGCAAAGAACTACCTGACCAGGGCTGACCCAACATCGGTGGCCACGCGCACACAGGTGCCCGACAATACCAGACACGGGCAACGGACACGCGGGGACGGTCGACTCGGCCAACGCGGGCCTACCCATCTTCCGCCGTTTAGAATTTGGCTCCAGGATCTGCCTCTGTGCCAAAGCCAGCTCATCGGCATCTGGAGCCAAGACGCGCTGAATTGGGGCGAAAGTGACACGCGGCCTCACGTCCCTATCATCAGACGAGCCTGGGCGGGCCAGAAGGTCACCCATTCTCTTAGTGGGGGCACCCTGAGAGACACTGGCTGAGCCCGTGAGATCCTGGGAGGGGTCCGCCTTGGCCTGGTCACCAGCGACACATCCCTGCACTCGCGGGGGCTCCCTCGAACTCATGTCGAAAGACCTCGACGCCAGGACACGGGCAAAACAGGTTATACGAGATAAACGATCCCTCGATCTCTTGGCCTTGGCACCTTTCATGCAGAAATTGCACCTCCAGATGAGGCGATTCGGCACTTGCGAGAAGGCGTGAGCCAGGTGGGCGGGAGGAGGGGTGGGGTCGAATTCACTCTTGGCCTGCCTGACCTGAGTAGGCTTCTTGCCCCGTCGCGGCACAGTTGTGACACGTCCGTGTGCAGCGAAGGCCAGCAACGCTTCAACCTGCCATTTCAAAACCGACCGAACAGACTTCAGAGCAATCCGCATGGCCTTGACATGCGGTCGGGGAACCGAATGCAAATCCCGCCCCCTGGTCGCCCCAAAATCGGCCCATCGGTTCCCCCGCGCCAAGACATCCATGCCTCGCTGGTGCCCTCGCACGTGACGAACTTCCAAATTATCCGAGAGGCCTCCTAAATCGTCGATTTTGTTCCAAATTAAGTCCCAAAGATCAACATTGGGCCGAGAGGGATGTCTACACCAATCAGGCCCCCATGTGAGGCCTTCGATCAGGCCCTTATAATCTGAGTGGACTAATATAGGCAAAACAGCTATCTGCAAAACTTGCAAGAAGGCGTATAGCTCAGACCGCGGTGAGGACTGCGCAGGTCCAGGGAGAGCACCATATACTAGAAGATCAATCCTATCATTATCCAGCTTAGCGAACCCCCATCCAGCACGAGACGCTTCGGGCCAGTACCAGAACTTATTACATGCCCCATCTGTAAATATGACGCCACTAGCCATATCTGCTGTACCGTATTTGACAATCCACCTGCCCGGATTATCTTTTGGCGGCACTGGTGGAAAACAGCTGCGAGGGCATAATCCGCGATCCCAAAACCATGACCCAACAACCTTGGGTGGGAGCCCCCTGTCATCTAAATCCGAGAGGTGACGTATCCTTTCACCGCTACTGCCAGCACAATCCCACAAAATATGATGGGTCGTGCAAGCCGTGGACGGGCACGCCATGCATTCAGCGCGATCAACATATCCACAAGCGTGAAGCCGAGACGGGGGCCACATGCCACCACCTACGAAGGCGCGCAGCATCGCCGCCTCGTTAAACGAAGGGGCCCAGGGAGTCCTGCTAGATTCCTGTGGCTCGTCGTCGTCGGAGTCTGCACCTTCACCCTCGGAGGGGTCGTCAAATTCGTCCCCCTTGTACCTTCTCAACAGGTCAACGATGGGCTCGATCCAGTGCCCGAGGGGCTGCTTGGGGGCCATGCCGACGTCGTCAGCGGGGTTCCCTCGAGCTGCCCAGGACTCCCAAAGCCTCCTGAGCGCAGCAGCCTGACCTAAGTCACGAACCGTGGACGGCGCAGAAGTCCTGAGGTCCAAGATGTCCCCGATGTCGGTCTTCCAGACAAAAGCTGAGCTGGGGGTCCATTTCAAGGCCTTTAAGGATAAAAGCATAGCCCCAGCAGGGCCCGGGACGTGTTTCCAGGGATGAGTGGCCAAGTATATTTTCTGGATCTGCGCCTTCCAGGCCCTCTGGAGCTCCTCGCGAGTCACCGCGACGTCCCGACAGAGCACAGCCCACTGTACAAGAGGGGCCGTCCACGCCTGGACCTGCGGGTCCGACAGCACGGTGCCTTGAAGGCCACTCGCCAGCCAGGCCGAAGTGGTCGACCCAGGTGAATACCAGCACGAGCGAAGCACAGAGCGCATCTTGGCCACCAACTGTGGCGGCGCCCCATGTACTCCTAATCCATATCCCATAGCACTGGGTAATGCCTGTCGGACAAACTTGCAGACGATGGGTCCCGCTTTCTGAACTTTCGAAAGCCGTGGAACTCGTTTCGAGGCGACCGAGACACGTTCACGAAGCCGACAGTATCTAAGGGGCCTCCCTGACGCCACCTCAATCCCAAGAACCTCCAAGGCACTCCGACAGGCATGACCA